GTGACTAAGACATGAGGAATGAGGGCAAAAGAGCCCTAGATGGGGATCAAGAAGACAGAGGAGACCCAGTGGAAGGATCACATTGGCAGGGAGCAGACAGGTGCGTGGAGAGAGAAGCAGGACTCTCCTAATATTTGCCCAAGACCGTCCCTTTCAGAAGTGGCCTCACAGGGGGAGCAGGTAATTTTCTAGCCCCCCCGCCATGTTTCCTTTTAAAGCTTAAATGGCTACCATTCTTCCCTTCCTCTTTCCTCCCCACCCTTCTAAATTCGCCTGAGGTGTAGTTTAACCAAATAAATGGTGACTAAGACATAAGGAGGAATGAGGGCAAAAGAGCCCTAGATGGGGATCAAGAAGACAGAGGAGACCCAGTGGAAGGATCACATTGGCAGGGAGCAGACAGGTGCGTGGAGAGAGAAGCAGGACTCTCCTAATATTTGCCCAAGACCGTCCCTTTCAGAAGTGGCCTCTGGAGAATGGGTGGTGGTGTTTTGACACTTTCATGCCTCAGTTTTCTCAGCCTGTAAACCGTGCGTATAACCAAGTGGTTTTGTTCTGAATACCGAGACCACATGTAAATCATGTTCTCCATATCATTACCCTCTTTATTGGAGATAATATGGCAGTTACTAGTTGCAATTAGTAGAACTTACTCTTTGAGCCCAGCTCTGCACAAGGCATTGCTCCTTGAGTTTTACCTGCACTGACTCTCAGAACATAGATCTATTTTAGTATTACTTTCTCATTGAGAACCCCAAGGCACAACCAGTTAGCCATTTGCTCCAGATGGTTTAGGTTAGAATAGGTAAGTTTGGTTTACTTCCACCCAGGGCATCTAAGAGCAGAGCCTGCACATTTCACCAAGCTGTACTGCTTCTAGTAAATAATGATGGTTGTCACCAACAAAAAATCCTGTGCATTCCACGCACTAGAAATACAAGATAAGGGTAAAGGGTAAGGTCTCCCTGCCAGGGCTGCACTGAAAAGGCAGAAATGTGGGGACCATGGCTGGGAATAGGGATCCCAGTCCTAGGAAGTCAGCAGGTAGGCTGCCCTGCCCACCCCAGTCCCATGATGCTGAGCACTTATTTTTTAGACTAGGGTAGGGATACCGAGAACGTCTGCTGGACTAGCACATAAGGATCATGACAGGGCAGGCAGTAATCCTCTGCTTCTCAGCTGACCAGGGCTTTCCTGTATGCTTCTCGCTCATCTCCATCAAATCACAAATCAAAGGCTTTGCTGAGAATTTTGTTCTGAGTGTGGGCTTGTTTTCAGAAACTGGTGAACTAGGACTTCTCCCAGTCACTGGCTTCTCCCTAACCCAGCACCTGGCAACCTCCTTGAGTCCAGGCTGTCCTGTTATTTGTTCTCAGTGTCATGCACAGGGTCTGGCCTGCCATGGCTACATAGTCAGTACTAGTTGGGTGGATGGGGGAATGGACTGATGAGCACGTACAGAGCCACCTATGCCCCTCTTCCTTCTTCCCCACATCCCCCAGGTGCTAGGATTGACGGTGGTCTTTCTCTGCTACTACTCAGCTCAGCTCCCTTGGCCAGGATCTTGTCCTTATATTGGACAAGTTATTGGACAGTGCTAGCCATCCCGCATCATGGTATCCCAAAGCTTAACGTTCTGCGTAGCCTTTCAGGGTATCAGGAAGGAAAAGTTAAAGAGGGTGTTGGGTGGTGATGTGTGTGAAGGGGACATGAAGGAGCACACACCCTCACCCTGAATTCACACAGGGACAGGGCAGTGCGAGGGGACCCTTCTTGTTGTTAGCTTGACCCCAGGACCTTTAATGAGTATCAGTGAGTAAGGTAAGGGATATCTATCTAACAAGTGAATTAGTTAATGATTGAAGAAAAACAGTGACTATCACATGTTGATGTAAGTACTAAAGCACTATCAGTGGAGGAAAATTAAAACATGTTTGGCTGTAGAGACGGTATTCTTTATACAATTTATTAAAATTTTGTGCTGTTACTCAAATCATTCATCTTACATGAATCTGTCCGTGGCCTACCTCATATTCAGCTGTGTGTGTGTGTGTGCGTGTGTGTGTGTGTATGTGTGTGTGTGTGTGCGTGTGTGTGTGGTGTACTTAAAAATGAGTAAGATAAAATCTTTGCCCTCAGAGAGCTTAGTATTTAGCTATACAGGTATGAAATATATATAGAGAGTGTCAAAGTGGGGCACAAAACAAACAAGGGTGTGTGTAGCTAACACAGAGTGTGCATATGTTAGATACAAACTGAGTTGTCTTCAGAGCAAGGCAGTGAGGGATGGCAGAACAATGTCCAGGGGCTCAGAAAACTGTACTGAAAGTCCTTAGATAAGGACCTGACATTGCTAACCCATTGAGTGGCTCAGCCAGGCCACGGATAGAGTGGGTAAGGCAGACCACGGATAGAGTGGCTCAGCCAGACCATGGATAGCATGGATAAGGCAGACCACAGATAGAGTGGCTCAGCCAGACCATGGGTAGAGTGGCTCAGCCAGACCACGGATAGAGTGGGTAAGGTAGACCACTGATAGAGTGGCTCAGCCAGGCCATGGATAGAGTGGCTAAGCTAGACCATGGATAGAGTGGCTAAACCAGACCATGGATAGAGGGCCTTCTGACTCTGTCTCCACTACTGTAGCTCCCACTTAAGCAGAGTCATAGATGTACTGGAGAAGGACCCTGTGGCCTGAGCCTACAATAATGACTCTCTGATTAATTGGTTCCAGCTGCACAGTATAGATTTTAATTGAGTGGTAAACGCTCTTCCTATATGCCCAGCCATCTCATTCGTACCACTGAAACATTAGAGGGAACATTAGTCACAAGAGAGGACAGATGGACCTGTACAAAAGTGCCTCCCTCTTTGCAAGAACATACTCTTTACAGGTGTTCTTATCACCTGTATGTATGAAGTATGTTCATGTGGCTTTCGAGAAATACAGTCCTTTATTGAGTCTAAATGGGTCTTTGCTAAAGCCAGGCAGCTCCCACTGTGCCAAAGTGAAACTGAGAAGAGAGACCCGTGCTTCTTAATGCCCATGTTCTAATAAATATGGCACTGTTAACCCTCATCAGAGGGGCTGAGAGAGCTTTATTCCCATATGCGTGTGTTCACCAGATTTCACAAATATTGTATCCTGCTTCTGTGCGTTCCCACAAAGAAGTATGCAGGTGGGGCTTTCACGGCAGCCCAAAGGTCCAGCGTCTCCTGGAGGAAGGCAGAACATCATTTTGAACATAATGAGAACTCATTTTACAGCAAAGCCATCAGGAGCTTTTTTCTTATCAGGAGGCCAAGCGGAGGAGCATGTGGGAGCAGTGTGCTGTCCGTAGAGCGTAGCAGCTAGGCCCCTATGTATCCCCAGGCTGGGGGCCAATGCTCCACACCAATACCTGGGGTCCTGCTAGGGAATGTTGATAGAAAATCTGTCTCCCCTGACACATAATGGAAGCAGTTACCAAGCCACTCTTCTAAAGCAGATTGAATTTGTTCAACATTTATTTCATATCTGGATGTGAGGAATGAGAAGGTAAAATTAAGCCAATTACTGACTCCAATCTTTTTCTATATAAAATTCTTCAGTAGAAGAAGAAAAATGTTGTTGCTTTCTCATACTGTAAAGTGAATTACAGAAAAATACCTCAACTATTCAGAGAACCTATGGGTTAAGAAATAGACGGGGCAGGAAAAAGGGTTTTGATAGTTCCAACAGCATAGACAGTGGGCTGCACCCCAGTCTCAAGTCATGACCCAACATCCCTCAAATTTTTATTTGTATTGTTTCTTAATGTTTACTAATCAGAATTCACTCTAGCTTTAAATGATGTTGGTTGTAGGTTTAAATAGTAATTGATGATTGATTGATTGATTGATTGGGTATTGTTTCTTAATGTTTACTAATCAGAATTCACTCTAGCTTTAAATGATATTGGTTGTAGGTTTAAATAGTAATTGATGATTGATTGATTGATTGATTGATTGATTGATTGATTTGTGTGTATCTGCATGGGAGTGTATGTCACCACAATCATGTGGAAGTCAGAGGACAGCTCGTGGGAGCTGGTTCTCTCCTCCACCATGTGAGTTCTGGGGATTGATCTCCTATCATCAGGCACAGCAGCAAGTACAAATAACAGAAAGTTACTAAGGCGCTGCCACTTTGTGTTCCGCACGTATGGAGTTCCTGCTCTGGAGACATTAAGATAAATCTGGAGTTCAGTGGCAATGATAGCTGTAATAACTAACACTCGTTGGGTATTAACATCATGGTAGAGAAATTCACATTCATCGTATTTATCTGCACAACTCTGAGTTCAGATGCAGTTAGTATGACCACCCACTCACCAGGAAACAGAGAGACAGGAATCTGCCCAGATTCATGTAGCTGAAAAAATGACAAAGCCAGGATTAGAACCTGTATCGACTCAACTTAAGAGCAAGTGCGTTTAAGCAATGAATTGTAATTTCCTCTGTAATATCTTATCTGTGTACCTGTCAAGTTTCGGGCTACAGAGTTTACCCCCAAACTCCTCCAGCCACCTCTGCCCAGGTCATTATTTCCAGACAGCTGAATCATAGGTAGAAGTTGCCAGTCCACACAGCCCTACTATGTCAGTCAGTATAAAGTGATCTCTTAGCTTCTCAGTTCCCTCTACAGCACTGAGAAGAGACAGTAAAGGGTTGGTCCTGAGTTAAGACTGCCTGTCCCCCCTGAGCTGACTCTGCTCAGAAGTGCTATGTAGAATGCAGGTACCTTGTCTTAGTACCTTATCACTAGGAGAAGGTGATATCATAAAGATTCAAAGGTGTCCTCTGCGACATACAGAGCCCAGTCCCTTCTCAGGTGGGATAATCACACACAGCTCTCATGAGCATGGTATTACCAAAACAAGCACAGGGGTGGGATAATGATGTTTTTGTGAGCCTATTCACAACTGGAAACTCAGAAAGTTGAGCCTGTAGCTAACATCACTTTTCTTTTCCCTCCACAGGCATGAATGCTTTACAATTACAGAATCTGGCAACACTGGCTGCTGCTGCAGCTGCTGCCCAGACCTCAGCCACCAGCACCAACGCAAACCCTCTGTCCACCACAAGCAGTGCCCTGGGAGCCCTCACAAGTCCCGGTGAGTGGAAAGCCTTCCTTTCCCCTGCACGTGATGCAGGAGCGACGTACGCGCAAATCCTCACACACCCAGAGACAAAGGGTGAGGCTGCACAGATCCAAAACAGAGCCAGGAAATTTGCTCTGGGCCTCTCATTTATTTATTTTTTTCTTTTAAAAGAAATTTACTTTTATTTTATGTGTCTGAGTGTTTTGTCTATGTGTATATAAGAGCACCTGTGTTGTGCAGTGCCTGCAGAGGCTAGAAGAGGGATCCCCTGGAACTGGAGTTACAGATGGTTATTAACCACCATGTGGATACTGGGAACCGAGCCTGCCCACTGGAGGAACAGCTACTGCTCGTAACCACTGAGCCATCTCTCTAGCCCCATATATCTCTTACTTTTTCTTGAGCAAAATTTGAGTGTGTATGTTTTAATTTTCAAAGATAAAAATGAGAAAAGTCTTCAGTGAGAAAATCTACATTTTTTTTAATCTTTTCTTTCATTTCTTCACTACTCATTCAGGCATTACTACCGGGCCCTTTGGACTCTTAGAGCTGCTTTTAATGTCCTGTCTTCTTTTCACAGAAGCAAATTAAGAGTTTTCTGTTGGTTCTCAAACCTCTAATCTTTCTAGTGTTGTATTTCACACCAGCTCCATCTGTCACCTTTGAGTTTAAAGCCCATGGCCTAGTAAGGATTCATCTATGGTCACATTCTGGCCTGGGTAATTCAGTCGTTTCCTTCAAAATTTTATTGCCTTATTCAAAAACTAGTGCCATTTTTTTTTCATACAAGGCAGATATACCATGGTTGCTTAGATACCATGATTTGTTTTCTTGATTTTAAAAAATAAGACGCAATGTTTCACTGGCTTGCTTCTCTCAGTTTTCTGACCCTGAGTAGACAATCTCATCTCTCCTCATTCTGTTACCTATGAGCAAGTCTGTGTGATCTCCAGACTTGCTTCTAACATTGAAAACCCCATGACCCTCCACTGGCCAGGCCCAGATGACTACCTTTATTGTGATTCTGCAAGGTTTTCTTACAGAAAAAAAATAGGAAATCAAAAAATAGAAAATGAAAGTCACAGCATGCTAGAGAGCAGCTTTCTCAAGGATTCTGACTTCAAAGCACAGCAAGGCCTGCCCCTCCAGCCTGTGGTACTGAAGGGAGAAGTAGCCCTTGGACTTTCGTAAAATATTATGCCAGTTTAGTTTTGAGGAAAGAAACCCAAGTGATACTTAGGAGAATCTGGTGGATTTATCCCTAATGTGCGGAAATCTCCCAGCAACAACAAGTATGTCTAGTGCCTTCATTCTTTCAAGTATTCCAAAAATACCCCATGGGGCTTCATTTTATGCAGTAATAGTATTCCTGAAAAATCAAGTTTTGTCAGTTCTTTCAAGAAATTAAGTTATAGCTTTAATTTGATCAGAATAAATCCTCGAATGGCCCTGTATGTTACTGTTCTTGTTGCTATAACAAAAGAACTGACAAAACGAGGAGAGGTTTATTGTTGCACACAGTTCAAGTCCATCGTGGTTGGGAAGTCGTGGCTGTGAGAGCTTGTGGCAGCCGGTCACATCACATTCATGATCCAAAGGACAGAAGCTGGTGCTCAGCTCACTTTCTCCTTTGCATTCAGTCCCCAGTCCATAGCATGACGCCACCCATACTCAGGGTAGGTTTTCTCTCTTCAGTTAAACCTCCAAAAATGCCCTCTCAGGCAGAGCCAGAGGTTTGTCTCGAAGATCCCATCACGTTAACAATATTAATCATCACAGACTCCTTTGAAGAAACAAGGCTTGTCTTTAACATACTTAGTTTCTCCCTTGTATAAGTAACAGTGATTTTCTTAAAGTACATTAAGTATGAAAATATGATAATTCAATAAATAATATCTGTAAGGTATGTTACAGTGTTATATATTGTCCTTGTGTGGGAATGTGGCAGTGAACCAGAAAGACATACCATTTCTGAGTCTTTAGGTCTTGCAGGAGACCTCAGAAAATAAACAAATACATGTATAATATATAATGTTAAGATGATTTGAACAGAATGAGAGAGAGAGAGAGAGAGAGAGAGAGAGAGAGAGAGAGAGAGAGAAGGAAGTAAAAGACATGAGCCCTCTATAAGAAGGAAGCCGTGTCTTCAGAAAAGAACAGAAGCAGTAAGGCAGGAGGGAGCTTGCAGTGATGGTAAACTCGCAAAGAAGTCATGGTGCTAAGTGCAGAGAGGGAGGAGAGGGAAGGCAAGACATGGAGATGAGGCCCATGTCAGTGATCCATAGTGATTTTTCTTAGCCAGCTTTCCCATCACTGTGACTGAGTGCCTGACATAACAACATAAGGAAAAGAAGATTAATTTTATGTATAGATGCTGAGGGTTTGGTCCACAGTCATTTCCTCCATTTCTGGGCCCATGGAAGGCAGAATGTCATGTTAATTGGGATGTGCAACAGAGGAGACTATCTGCCCAGTGGCAAACAGGAACAGAATACAGAAAGGGGCCAGGGCAAGATATAGTTTCCAGAAACATGCCCCCAGTAGCCTACTGCCTCCAGATAAGCCCCACCTCCTGAAGTTTCTACAATCTTACAAAATTTTGCTGTCAGCCAGGAGTCAAGCTTTCAGTATAGGAGCCTTTGAGTGATGTTTCAGTTCAAACCATAATACCATTCCATCCAATATAGTGAGGATCATGAACTTATTTTAACCTTCTTAAATGTGGGATGTTTGGCCTAAGAAGATGGCGTGTTTGTCAGAAGGGGATTTTAAACATATGTGACCATTCCATTTTCTTCTGAGACCACCGTTAAAGAGAAAATATGTTTAAAGATGTATTTGCCCTCCTCCTGCGTTAGTCAACATGTACCACTAGCAAAGTGTCTTTCCCCACCCTCCTAAAGAAGCGGACTGACCTTTGGTAGATGGTGCTACCTAGGGTGTCCCTGGAAGTGATTTTCTCTATTGAAGAATGTCTTGCATAATCCCTAAAAAAGTATTTCATTAGAATCTTGAAGTGTAGCAACAGAAACTATTTAAATCTACGTATCAGTTGTTTTTCCTGTGAATCTTTTCAAAAGACCTAGAGTTTAAGTAAAAGTAAATATATTTGTCTAATTTCCATCAGGGAATTTCTCAAAGCTGCAAAAAATGTGGTTAGAATTCCTGATTCCCTACTTCATCAGGGCGCTCTGTGAAATAAAGTGTTGGAAGCCATTCACAGACTATTTATCTTTTAAATAATGATAGACTGGGCTCTGTTATCTATACAGTGAGCAGTCACTGAAATGAATGAAGCCTCTTCCTCTCCGATACAGGCCTTGAGTTTGCTCTGTGTTTTGTCCCTTAAGCTTCAGACAAATTCATCCAGAAAGGAAAAGGAAAATTTAACCCCCAAACTATTAATTTTTCTCATAATTGTAAATTTATCTTTTCAATTTTGCATACCCACAAAAAGCCTCCCCACAGCATTATTATAAATGATTTTCAACAGTCTTGGCTTTAAAACATGAAAGATTAAGCTTTAATGTTTGTTTTAAAAAGTCACCACCGTAGGCAGTAAATAGGTTTCTTTGTCTCATGGCCTTGAAATAAAAATTAAAATAGTTTAAATTGCCCATGGTTAGAATAAGTGCTTCATGCAATTATCAGATGGTAGTGAATAAAATTAGAAATTAAATCATGAAAGAATAAAAACCAGGTAAGTGCATATTATTCCTTTTATGAGTTCCTTGTGGGTCTTTTGAAGCCTAATTTAATCATATTTCTTGTCTTTTATTCTGATATGATAATTTTTCCTTTGCTTACTTCAGTCTTCCATTTAGTTAATTAATTCTTGGGTCATTTCTTATTACCGAGTTTTGAACCTATGTTTGAGCGCTGTGTCTGTGTTTCTAAGAGGTAAGAATGTATATAAGGCACGCAGCCAGATATTAAAGAAAGAAAATATTTGTCTCCCACACTGTTTGCAGATGTGTTGTTTTTGTCTGGTAATTTTAAGAGTTTGAAAAACAGAATTACTTTTACCACATGTGAACCTCCCTTTGGCATTTTCTGTCTAAAATGTAAAATGCGATCATGTACTCCCATTATTTCTCTGACCTCCTTCTGTTTTCTTCTTTGGAGAAAAAGATGTTTTAAAATTCTCCAAATGTTTCTGGAAGTGGAGACTCAGTCAAGTGCATACTTCAAAATAATAATTTCTTTCAGTAGTATAAAGCATTTTAAAATGCCAGGGGTCCTTATCGCATTCCCACTATTGGCTCATCAAGGAGTTTTCAGGTCGGATTCTAGGCCATCCTTCCCATCTTCACTCTCCCTGAACACTGCCGTAGTCTCAGGGTTCTAGGGAAATACTAATGCCCCCTGCTGGAGAACCTGAGCTTAGGGGCAGTAGAAGATGTGATTCAGACCTTTCCTGCCCTCCTCACATAGGAATTACTGATGAGTGGATACTGACTCTGTTACAAATCTTTCACCCAGGAATCTGCATGTGTAACAAGATAGAATTGTCCCCTGAAGTTATCCTACCTTTTCAGATTGCAGGAGGCTTTGTCTCCTTAAATGTGTCAGTATCTGTGTCACAAGAGAGTCTGCACTCGTGGGAGGAAGTAATTCACACCTGTGAGCCTTCCAGTTTGTGCAGTCCAGTGTATAACAATGTGTTGGACCCTATATTGCTCCCAAGCAGCCACATATAGGGTACGCTAAGGCCCAGAGAGACGGACAGAAAGAAAAGGCAGTGAGAGAAGCCATCTGCTTAAGGCTGCTGCAGTGGCGCCTCAACGTCAGGAAAGCCAAGACTGAACGTCTCCCAATGCCCTGTTCTTCCTGCTGCCTTCTGCTCTGTTCAGAAGAACTGGATGCAGTGGCTGAATCTCCTGGCTAGTTGTGGCAGTGGTATATCTCATCAGTCTTCAACCGGATTGGTTCACCTAGGAAAATTCTTCGTCAAAGCTGATGCTAGCCTGGAGGAGGCCCATGTTTTCACTTCCTCTGTGCTACTGGAAGAG